GTAGGTTCAGTTCCTGAGAATGATGATGATGGTTGTAGTATGTTCAGTTCCTGACAATGATGGTTGTAGTAGGTTCAGTTCCTGACAATGATAATGATGGTTGTAGTAGGTTCAGTTCCTGACAATGATGGTTGTAGTAGGTTCAGTTCCTGACAATGATGGTTGTAGTAGGTTCAGTTCCAGACAATGATGGTTGTAGTAGGTTCAGTTCCTGATGATGATGGTTGTAGAAGGTTCAGTTCCTGACAATGATGATGATGGTTGTAGTAGGTTCAGTTCCTGATGATGATGGTTGTAGTAGGTTCAGTTCCTGACAATGATGGTTGTAGTAGGTTCAGTTCCTGACAATGATGGTTGTAGCAGGTTCAGTTCCTGACGATGATGGTTGTAACAGGTTCAGTTCCTGATGATTATGGTTGTAGTATGTTCAGTTCCTGATGATGATGGTTGTAGTAGGTTCAGTTCCTGATGATGATGGTTGTAGTAGGTTCAGTTCCTGACAATGATGGTTGTAGTAGGTTCAGTTCCTGACAATGATGGTTGTAGTAGGTTCAGTTCCTGATGATGATGGTTGTAGTAGGTTCAGTTCCTGATGATGATGGTTGTAGTAGGTTCAGTTCCTGACAATGATGGTTGTAGTAGGTTCAGTTCCTGACGATGATGGTTGTAGCAGGTTCAGTTCCTGATGATGATGGTTGTAGCAGGTTCAGTTCCTGATGATGATGGTTGTAGTAGGTTCAGTTCCTGACGATGATGGTTTTAGTAGGTTCAGTTCCAGACAATGATGATGATGGTTGTAGTATGTTCAGTTCCTGACAATGATGATGATGGTTGTAGTAGGTTCAGTTCCTGACAATGATGGTTGTAGTAGGTTCATTTCCTGATGATGATAGTTGTAGTAGGTTCAGTTCCTGATGATGATGGTTGTAGTAGGTTCAGTTCCTGATGATGATGGTTGTAGTAGGTTCAGTTCCTGACAATGATGGTTGTAGTAGGCTCAGTTCCTGATGATGATGGTTGTAGAAGGTTCAGTTCCTGACAATGATGATGATGGTTGTAGTAGGTTCAGTTCCTGACAATGATGGTTGTAGTAGGTTCAGTTCCTGACAATGATGGTTGTAGTAGGTTCAGTTCCTGACAATGATGGTTGTATTAGGTTCAGTTCCAGATGATTGTATACACCAATCAAGAGAGTGGTTGCAAGTAAAGACTGTATCCTAAGACTAACCAAGTTTACAAATCATTTCAAGTTGCTGCAAAGGTATTTGAGTAGCAGTATAAAATACAGTGCCAGTACACAGTGACAGGCATTATAATACAAAGGCATTGATTTTAACAATAAAGACAGACTTCTTTTATGGGCATTGTAGAAGTTGAGGTGTTGAGGACTGATGATCATTTTATGGATATACAACTTCTTTATTCCGTGAAAGGCGATGTTTGCCATCAGTTCTAATGTCGTCAAGCAACAACAATGGCATTAGAATCTATGTCAAATGTCGCCTTTCACAGAATAAGGAAGTTGTATATCCATAAAATGATCATCATTCTTCATAAAGACAGAGACAATAATATTCCCAGGACTGCTATAATGGTGAAGTTTCCAAGATTGGCTTAGACTGAGTATCCAGGGTCAAAATGATCCCAACACAACACCTCCGTCCTTGTAACTCGAGATGTAATGCGAGATGGGAGGCAAGAGTTAGCTCCCCTTATATACCTCCCGCTGAGAGTGTTCAGCCACAATATTACACATCTATGGAGAGTGTTATTGTATGGTACTTTTTGTGACATGCATGGTGAAAGTTTCCATGTGTCTAAGCATTTCTAAGAGTTTTCAACCAGGGCTTGAACATGCCTAAGATACAGAAATTGGAAAGCTGAGAATTTTGAAACTGTTGTTGCACCATAAATGTTTCATTTTGTGTAAAAATTGTTAGTTTTAAGACAGGTATTACTTCCGGAAAATGTTTGACATTGTTGAGAAAGTTGGATGTGTTGAAGGATTGAGCCTCAGTTGCAGGCTAAACATGATATTTCTTGGATTTTTCTTTTCTTGGAAACGTTTGTGAGGAGATATTATCATGTGAAATATGCACAAATTTTGAGAAGGTAAATTTTGTTATACCTTGAAATATTGTTCAATACGTTTGTAGTATTCTAAATATACAAAACATAAATTATGCAAGCTTAACGACATTTCATTTATCATATTTTACCCTTTTTTTTTAAATTTCATGAAAATGTGTCACTAGGAAGTAGAAATAGCAGACAGTCCAGGGAGTAATCATTATTGCAAAAACCTTTTTTATGTTACAGTAGTGACATCAAACCTTGTGACAAAGTTTGACCTTTTTTAGCAAAATGTTTTTCCATACAAAAAAGGTCAAACCACGCCAAGCATGTAGCTGTAACATCATTAATTATGATATGTTAAAACACTTCTTTTGAAAAACATGATAAAGACAAAAAAATCAAATTGCACATCAGCCACTCGACACATGAAAATTGAGTAAAATTGGGTGGTTGTGGGGGTTTAAAATACCTATATATATAAAAAAATAATCTCCAAATGTTGTTGCTGTAAAGTGTAGAATAAACTGAGATATATCAGTTACTATAAAAAAGACGTGTTGATTTTTACTTAAGTTTGTTAGGTACAAACATATAACATAAATATGCATGAATTTTGAGAATGACTCATATCTATCTATCTATCTATATATCTTTGTTAGGTGATACAAGTATATGTGCTGTATATGAAGTGATACCAGTATATGATACAAGGTGATACAAGTATATGTGCTGTATATGAAGTGATACCAGTATATGATACAAATGTTTGGTAGGTGATACAAGTATATGTGCTGTATATGAAGTGATACAAGTATATGTGCTGTATATGAAGTGATACAAGTATATGTGCTGTATATGAAGTGATACCAGTATATGATACAAATGTTTGGTAGGTGATACAAGTATATGTGCTGTATATGAAGTGAAACCAGTATATGATACAAATGTTTGGTAGGTGATACAAGTATGTGTGCTGTATATGAAGTGATACAAGTATATGTGCTGTATATGAAGTGAAACCAGTATGTGATACAAATGTTTGGTAGGTGATACAAGTATATGTGCTGTATATGAAGTGATACAAGTATATGTGCTGTATATGAAGTGATACAAGTATATGTACTGTATGTGAAGTGATACAAGTATGTGTGCTGTATATGAAGTGATACAAGTATATGTGCTGTATATGAAGTGATACAAGTATATGTGCTGTATATGAAGTGAAACCAGTATATGATACAAATGTTTGGTAGGTGATACAAGTATGTGTGCTGTATATGAAGTGATACAAGTATATGTGCTGTATATGAAGTGATACAAGTATATGTGCTGTATATGAAGTGATACAAGTATATGTGCTGTATATGAAGTGATACCAGTATATGATACAAATGTTTGGTAGGTGATACAAGTATATGTGCTGTATATGAAGTGATACCAGTATATGATACAAATGTTTGGTAGGTGATACAAGTATATGACTCTTTTCGATGAATGTTTCAGGTCAGCAATTAATTGGCACATATATTCTCAAACATACTACATGCTCACTGTACATAGCTACACAGCATCAAATGGAGAAGAAAACATAATTTTATTTATACTGTTTAATGTCATTGTTTAAAGATCAGCAGACCTTTGCCAGGTTGTAAATTAGTGACATTTAGTTAACAATCAATATTTATGGTAGGTTTGTTTTTAAGTTAGCCTTGTTCTCCAGTACATGGTGTGATAGTGACCACAGATTACAGGCAGCACTGTTACGTTTACTTGTGTGTGGCAGTTCTTGATGTGTGTGACATGTTGGATTCTGGTGTAATAGTGACTACAGATTACAGGCAGCACCCTTATGTTTACTTGTGTGTGGCAGTTCTTGATGTGTGTGACATGTTGGATTCTGGTGTAATAGTGACCACAGATTACAGGCAGCACCCTTATGTTTACTTGTGTGTGGCAGTTCTTGATGTGTGTGACATGTTGGATTCTGGTGTAATAGTGACCACAGATTACAGGCAGCACCCTTATGTTTACTTGTGTGTGGCAGTTCTTGATGTGTGTGACATGTTGGATTCTGGTGTAATAGTGACCACAGATTACAGGCAGCACCCTTATGTTTACTTGTGTGTGGCAGTTCTTGATGTGTGTGACATGTTGGATTCTGGTGTAATAGTGACCACAGATTACAGGCAGCACCCTTATGTTTACTTGTGTGTGGCAGTTCTTGATGTGTGTGACATGTTGGATTCTGGTGTAATAGTGACCACAGATTACAGGCAGCACCCTTATGTTTACTTGTGTACTTGATGTGTGTGACATGTTGGATTCTGTGTAGTGCAGTTCTTGATGTTTTGACTTGTGTGTGACATGTTGGATTCTGGTGTAATAGTGACCACAGATTACAGGCAGCACCCTTATGTTTACTTGTGTGTGGCAGTTCTTGATGTGTGTGACATGTTGGATTCTGTCGTGATAACTATAAATTTCTTACAACCAATGCTTATATTTTTGACTCAATAAATGGTCCCAAGGTGAAATGCTAAAAAGACCAACATTTATGAAAGTAAAATAATGTACCAAAAAATATTTGTGTATGAACTAGACACGAACAAGACCAATACAGACGCAGTTGAAGTGGCTGGACCTGAATGTCAGCGTGGATGTATGGTATCACATCCCCCACACGGTGACATCTTCCTGATTCAGTCCACTGCTACTGGAGGCTGTAACATCATCATCATCATCATCATCATCTTCACATAATGTCCGGTTTACGTATGGAACAACAGTTACTCTCTCACAGTGATAACAGCTCTGTTATAGCACGACTATGTTGAGCAATTGACAAGCGTAGATGTGTTTGCCAAGGTCTCGACTGAGCACCAGTCGTCCAAGCAAGCCACACATCTCTAGCATGCTGTCAGTGCATGGCCGTTAGCCTTGCTCAAAGGTTCTCATAATCAGCTGATTGTGCAGAAGGGTCTATTTCACCAACCGTCATTACGCAGCGTATTAAGTGGAGTTATACTGTGTCTGTGGATTGTACCTGGGATTTTACTCTTGTGGATTTAGTTGTGGAAGGCCTGGTAGGTGACATTCTTTGACTTGAGTGGGTTTCTGTGCTGGGTTTGACTGACGGTGGGATATGGTAGACGGTAGGATATGGTAGACGCTCACAGATTGCTGTGGGGCTTGTTGACTTTGAAGCAGTGACATATTTGGCATGTTGTCAGATTGTTTGGGTATGATTGAGACAGACACATTTGTGTGCAGCTCATGCTTCATGTAGCCGGAGTCTCATTGCAGCTAACTGTCAGGCTTAGTGCATGTGAACTGTGTGTGGAGTACATGCAGACTTCACCCACAGGTGTGACTTGGTGTGACTTGACCATAGGTATGATTTGATCAGATTTCTTGTTGTCACTTAGTCACAGGTTTGACTTGATGGAAAGTGTAACAATATCACAGGTGTGACTTGATCATTGATGTAATTTAATCACAGGTGTGACTTGATCATAAGTGTAACTTAATCACAGATTTGACTTGATTCGTCTTTACTATAGGTGTGACTTAAACATAGGTATGATTTGATGTGACTTGATCATAGATGTAATTTAATCACAGGTGTGACTTGATCATAGATGTAATTTAATCACAGGTGTGACTTGATCATAAGTGTAACTTAATCACAGATTTGACTTGATTCATCTTTACTGTAGGTGTGACTTAAACATAGGTATGATTTGATGTGACTTGATCATAGATGTAATTTAATCACAGGTGTGACTTGATCATAGATGTAATTTAATCACAGGTGTGACTTGCTCATAGATGTAATTTAATCACAGGTGTGACTTGATCCTAGATGAAGCTTAGTCACAGGTGTGACTTGATCATAAGTGTAACTTAATCACAGGTGTGACTTGATTCGTCTTTATTATGGGTGTGACTTGAACATAGGTATGATTTGAGTTGACTTGATCGTAAGTGTAATTTAATCACAGGTGTGACTTGATCATTGATGTAATTTAATCACAGGTTCTTCTTGCTCCTAGATGTAATTTAATCACAGGTGTGACTTGATCATTGATGTAATTTAATCACAGGTTCTTCTTGCTCCTAGATGTAATTTAATCACAGGTGTGACTTGATCATAGATGCAATTTAATCACAGGTGTGACATGATCATTGATGTAATTTAATCACAGGTGTGACTTGCTCCTAGATGTAATTTAATCACAGGTGTGACTTGATCATAGATGTGACTTAGTGTGACTTGATTATTTGTGCCACTTGATGAGAAGAGTGACTTGATTACAGGTGTGTCTTAATCATAGGTGTTACTTTTGTCCAAGTCACTTTTCGTTCCTGTGATGTTTTAACTGGAAGTGAAATTAAGAAACATTATGTTGTTGATTTACAGACTGTGCCTGAGTTGCTGATAAGATCTATCAACATGCACATCCGACCATTATTTTCACAGTTTGGCCTGTAAATCAGCAGCTGTTATCAGCACCGACTGTGACAGGCATCCTGCAATACAGATTATCTGCTATAATTAGACATACTTAAAATATAAATGGGTCTATTTATGAGTGAGTGGACAGACACGGTTTGTCCCAGGGGAATGTGATGGTATGGACAGTGATAGGTGTGGTTTTGGGGTGGAATACAGTAGGTATTGACAGTGATGGATGTGGTTATTGGGTGGAATACAGTAGGTATTGACAGTGATGGGTGTGGTTATTGGATGGAATACAATAGGTATTGACAGTGATGGGTGTGGTTATTGGGTGGAATACAGTAGGTATTGACAGTGATGGGTGTGGTTACTGGTTGGAATACAATAGGTATTGACAGTGATGGGTGTGGTTATTGGGTGGAATACAGTAGGTATTGACAGTGATGGGTGTGGTTACTGGGTGGAATACAGTAGGTATTGACAGTGATGGATGTGGTTATTGGGTGGAATACAGTAGGTATTGACAGTGATGGGTGTGGTTATTGGGTGGAATACAGTAGGTATTGACAGTGATGGATGTGGTTACTGGGTGGAATACAGTAGGTATTGACAGTGATAGGTGTAGTTACTGGGTGGAATACAGGAATGACAGTGGGTGTGGTTATTGGAATACAGTAGGTATTGACAGTGATGGGTGTGGTTATTGGATGGAATACAGTAGGTATTGACAGTGATGGGTGTGGTTACTGGGTGGAATACAGTAGGTATTGACAGTGATGGACGGGGTTACTGGGTGGAATACAGTAGGTATTGACAGTGATAGGTGTGGTTACTGGGTGGAATACAGTAGGTATTGACAGTGATAGGTGTGGTTATTGAGTGGAATACAGGAGGTATTGACAGTGATGAGTGTGGTTATTGACAGTGATGGGTGTGGTTATTGGGTGGAATACAGTAGGTATTGACAGTGATGGATGTGGTTATTGGATGGAATACAGTAGGTATTGACAGTGAGGTATTGGAATACAGTGTATGACAGTGATGGATGTGGTTACTGGGTGGAATACAGTAGGTATTGACAGTGATGGGTGTGGTTATTGGGTGGAATACAGTAGGTATTGACAGTGATAGGTGTGGTTATTGGGTGGAATACAGTAGGTATTGACAGTGATGGGTGTGGTTATTGGGTGGAATACAGTAGGTATTGACAGTGATGGGTGTGGTTATTGGGTGGAATACAGTAGGTATTGACAGTGATAGGTGTGGTTATTGGGTGGAATACAGTAGGTATTGACAGTGATAGGTGTGGTTATTGGGTGGAATACAGTAGGTATTGACAGTGATAGGTGTTGTTATTGGGGTGGAATACAGTAGGTATTGACAGTGATAGGTGTGGTGATAGGTATTGACAGTGATGGGTGGTTATTGGGTGGAATACAGTGAGGTATTGACAGTGATGGTGTAGGTGGTTACTGGGTGGAATACAGTAGGTATTGACAGTGATAGGTGTTGTTATTGGATGGAATACAGTAGGTATTGACAGTGATGATGGTTACTGGGTGGTGTGGTTATTGGGTGGAATACAGTAGGTATTGACAGTGATAGGTGTGGTTATTGGGTGGAATACAGTAGGTATTGACAGTGATGAGGTGTGGTTATTGGGTGGAATACAGTAGGTATTGACAGTGATGGGTGTGGTTATTGGATGGAATACAGTAGGTATTGACAGTGATGGATATGGTTATTGGATGGAATACAGTAGGTATTGACAGTGATGGGTGTGGTTATTGGGTGGAATACAGTAGGTATTGACAGTGATGGGTGTGGTTATTGGGTGGAATACAGTAGGTACTCTGGAATGTGTGATATATTGATATGAATACAGTAGATACTCTGGAATGTGTGATATATTGATGTGATTGTCATGTTGAAAGTGTGACATGTTAATGTGGATATATATAAGGAACTCAGATGGTCGACCATCAACATGCAGACTGTAGCAATATGGAGACATGGAACTCAGATGGTTGACTTTGCAAGATGCAGACTGTAGCAATATGGAGACATGGAACTCAGATGGTTGACTTTGCAAGATGCAGACTGTAGCAATATGGAGACATGGAACTCAGATGGTTGACCTTGCAACATGCAGACTGTAGCGATATGGAGACATGGAACTCAGATGGTTGACTTTGCAACATGCAGACTGTAGCAATATTGGGACATGGAACTCAGATGATCAACCGTCAACATGCAGACTCTAGTGATATGGGCACATGGAACTCAGATGGTTATGATAACCACGCATTGGTTTTAGTGTTTATAAGTGTTTGTGTGTATTATAACACTGACCAGGTGATGCTGTAATATTGGTCATATGACTGGAAGCGCCATGGGGATATATGGAATTTATGATAACCAGGAGCCATATAGAGAAAAACAGTTACCTTTTTGTCAGAATTGTGGAACTGACTTACAGCATGATCATATGATCATCATATACCTGTCCATTGCAAACTGACAATGTGATCAGTCTACACAGTCAGTTCTTCTGCTAATACAGTGCTGTGACTGTGGAGAGTCTGCTGAATCACAGCATCTTCATCAAGACTGAGACAGCTGCCAACCCAGGCCTATCCAACTGAAGTAGTTGTAATGTTTCTAGTTACGGTATTCAGGAAGGAGGATTTAGTGGCACGTTACTGTCTCACCAACACTAGGAATTACTCTGAGGTATGCTACAATATAAACTGTAGTTTTATCTGACTTTTACGACAGCTTTAACATAGGCAAAGGAAGAAGTTTGTTTTAATAAAAAAAATAAAATTAATTCTTCAGTTATTCATTTTCAGCTGTCTGCCTACCGGATGGCAACCAGTAGGAAGTCATCATGATGCTGATATCAGCATTCCTTGTCCAGCATCACTGTGTTAAATACACATAATCTCAAACCCACGCATTGATTTGAGTGTTTGAAAGTCTGTGTGTATGAGAACACTGATCTGGCAATGCTGTAATATTGATCACACAACTGAAGTGTCATAACAGTTGAGATATGTTCAGTGAACAGCATCATTTCTTTCTTATGTTCACTGCTTGATATATAAACAAACAAGAGCCACTTTAACACATGGAAAATAGTTTTGTGTAGGTGGCCAGAGTTATGTGCCTTTGCTGTGTAAGGATCCACTGGTTTGGGGTTTGAATCCCAAATGTCCCCAATATTATCCTTGGTTTGTCAATGCCCATTCCTGTGATTTTTAGAAGAATTATCAGTTTTTGTAATCTGCATCCTGATTTTCAGCTTCCAACATTAGGTAGTTAGACAGGGTTCCATTTTGTTACCCATTGAGTTTTAATTGCATGCTATCTTCACCTTGAAAATAAAATGTTTTCTTCGTTATTCAAAATCTTTTGAATCCCGATAAATTGGGTATCTTTTTAACTAATTAGGGAATCTTTTTCGAACAGTATTCAGTTACAATTACTGTTTCAAGTGACTTCTAATTTGCATCTGTCCATATGTAATGTCCAATCTCTCAGCTGGAGTACTTGTCAAAGTTGCTATGAGAGAGGGTAGCTGCCGGTTGGATTGTTCACAGCAGTAGAGTCAGTCAGTCCTAT